CACTTGTGATTTTTTATCCACACTCTTCCCCACTGCTCTCTTCTTGTGATTGAAAGGAATAGGGTGCCTGCCCTCCTCTGCCCTTCAGTGCCTGCATCAAAAATGCTCAACACTAGCCAGGTGCTGTAGGTGCTGGACACGGGGGCCAGTCCCCTTCAATGATCTATATACACCCAACAGTATCCAACAGTAAGTCTTTCGTAACATGCTCCCATCGGTCACCGGTGGGTCCTTCTTTCCTGCGCCATCTTTTTTCACACCTTTTGCAGCTGCATCAGCCTTGCCGAGGAAAAACATGGAAACAAAAGTCGTTGCTGCAATCAGCTCGAGTGAAGCGATTTGGAAGCATCGCAAGAACTGGGCTCGGCACCTTTGCTTTGCGCTTCTCTTCTCTTTCTTTTTGTCTCTCTTCCTTGGACCTCTCTCGAGTCTTCAGCCCGTCCTCACCAATTTCCACGTCTTGTCGCTGCTCAATTGACCACCAGGCTCGCATGCCGCCAATCACTGGAAAGCAGAAAGGCTTGCAAAACAATGTCCATCTGCTGCCGCATGATGTTACCCACGGCCAGTTGGAATCTGGCAAGCGACCACACCAAAGCCAATCCGTGATCCCCTCCACTCTGACAGGACAAGCGCTGGGTTTGCAGGCCTAACGAGGTCCTTCGCCTCAATGATGCAGCCTGTGAGCAACGGAGTGTACATCGTCTCGGCTCCGACGGGACACTCCGCAAGAAAAGCTGAGCCATTGGGCTGATCTTAGACTTCTTTTTATTGGAGCGAGCTCGTATCAGGCACCTGACTTGCATCAGTTGCGTTGCACTGTGATGAGAATGCTTCAAGGGTAGCGATTGCCCAGCAAACGCTGTTCGGACCTTGGCTCTTCTTTGGCAGCGGCCTCTTCCATAAGCTTACCTTTTTTTCTTCGAAGCGCTGCAAGCCTGAGACCGAGCCCTTGCACTCCAGGCTTTTGTAGATTGGAAACTACGGATGGAGTCAAAAGATGTTGCCCTTCCTCGAACAGTGAATTCGCACATTCAGGCGACTCCGCATGTCTCATACAGCACTAGAGCGTACGTGAACTCTGTGAAGTGCGCGAGCCTGCCAGCGAACCGCTTCATCCATACGTACACAGTGCCTGCACGAGCAACCTATTTCTCAACCCGTTGTACACGCATTCGAGATCAAAGGCTGCCCGCAGAGCAACATCTCATCAACCACACAAGCCGGCCAGAACGATTGAGCCCGAAGAGCTCCGTAAGCCTCAGTAGCTCAGCTTGCTGATGCTCCAAATGAATCGGACCCACGGGCACCTCAATCAAGCTTCTTGCCAAACATATCTTTACGAATCAAGAGGACCATGCATCTCGGTCATCCTCATTACATGATCCTGCGTGTGCGTCCTGGAAGGGAACTCAAAGAACCTCAAATCTCGGGTTCCAAGCCAGTTGAGGCCCTTGCTTCGTCAAAAAGTCACCCTCTTCTAGCCGAACCATCGCAGGCCTCGGTACACTCGGAGTACACTCGGTACGCATTCCAGAATTCCCAAGCCAGGCTCAGCTGCTTGCGAAGCCCAGGCTGACAGCCATGCGCCAGACCACACAGCCCTGCTCTGAAAGCCAAAACGTCTGCGCGCAGAAAGCCATCCACATCGACATGCGCACATGCAACCTCATGCAACATGCACTCCCGAAGTGCCCCCACCGTCCCCCATGGAACTACTCTGCCTTGAAGGTGAATTCCGAACACAATGGCTGTGCTCGTCTTCCTGCCTCCTGAAGAAGGATTTCTTCATTTCGTCTTCCGCGCCATTCCAGGAAACTACCTTCGGCAGGGTACATCCATCTCTGTAAATCTACATTTGAAGCTTCCAGCCACGATTTATTCCTGTACGGCTCCACACACTGTGTAGACATAAATTAGTACGTGTTCGTGTTGCTGCTGCAGCACGCATGGGGCCATTGTCCTGTTCCATGGATGACGACAGTCAACTATTTTCCTCAAGTAAGATTAATGTTTTGGCGATGGCATTGCTACTTTGGCAACCCCACAAAGCTGTACACGGTCACATGACTGTAGCCATTACAGCCCGTAGGCTTTGTAAGTAAAACGCCGACGTGGGGTAGTCTCCCGAGTTGGCCTCCTGCGACATCTGATGCTCAGTGAGCGTAATGCCCTCATGCAACGGAAGATTTTCGCTTGTCTTCGTGCTGTACGAATGTTTCTATGATGTCAAGCTGACAGCAGCTCGTTGGCATGTGCATCCTTACTTCGAGCTGCTTTGCTCGGAACTGTGTACAGATCATTGGCTCAAGATTTAATCCAACGTGCTGGCAAGCAAAGACTCTCTTCTGATTCCCTTAAACGTCTCCTAGCTGCTGGTGCATTTTCGGGGTCGCCCGCCATCTTAACAGTCTGTGTGTGCTTCGCGTCTCTGCTCAAAGCTCATCGATCAGCTGACATTGCCATATACTATCTGTTGATCTTGGGAAGCCCCCACGCATGGGAGACGTCTACGATACTTGGGTCGCTCTGTACCAATTCTCGGGATCCGAAGTCGCTGAGTCCACACAAGTGGGGACGCGTCCGCTATAGTCATGTGATGTCATGTAGGCGATATGCACTCAACGCCAT